TGCGCACCGCGATCCAATATTGAATTGTGCTAGTACTGTAATCGGTTTAACACGAGTAATGCTATTTGCCGGTCTAACAGACCCCTTCCAATTTAGCGACTTGCGAGTAATTACAGGCATGATTTGTGTTTATCGTTTGCTTTAATATTCGTATTATTTTGTTTTTTTTTTATTTAAAGACGTATATGTAGAATTTAGTAACAAGATAATTTAGGAATCCTATGATTTCAAGACTCTCGTATATTAGAGGTGTTTTGTATGAGAAAAGAACAATAAAAAGCCTTCTACAATAGTTATTTTCAATAGAACGTAATCTCATAGTAAAGTTATTTAATATTTTTATATATAAATACTAAACAATGATTTTAATAGTGCTATCAGTTCTGAGAGTTGTATTGTTCAGTACAGCCAGTTCTTTGATTTACCTACTGAAAGTATAGATGTTTGAATGTTTGTAACTCAATCACGCCAGTACGGCTAAACGGATATGGATTAAATTTGGCACAGAGATAGATTATAGTCTGGAATAGCACATAAGCTACTTTTTATCCTTGAAAAATTTACGGTTCCCGTGGGATAGATTTGTTTTTGATTTTCGCTTTTGTGTAATATAAGGAAACATAATTTATTATAATTCATATTATCCATAATATAATTCTTGGAAATGAAGGAATGACGAATTTTCTACCACTAGCTAGACAGACAGACGAACATCATTTGAAACGTCCAGGGGGCTTTCAACTTTATTTTTAAGAACTTAAAAACATAGATACGTTAATTAATTCCGACATTTTCAGCGGGAAGCGGTCGGGGGAGGAGGCTCGTTTTAACTTTCCGGACCACTGCCTACTTTACCCCTACTCTTGTCACTTTAAGCACGCTGATATTTTTTATTAATATTATGGTGAGAAAATATATTGTAATAAGTATCTATCTATATAAATAAAAATGAACCACCGAAATGTATGTACGCACATAACTTCCGATCGACTGCACCTAATTGAATAATTCTTTTTTTGGGTTTGTTATTGTCAACACAAGCTTTGTATAAAAGAAAATTAAAAGATTTTTTTTTACTAAAATAAGTATTTTTTTAAATCTCATGATATGAAAAGTGAGTGAGTGAAGTAGTTTTTATCCCAAAAATCATCCTTTAAGGGGGTGAGAAAGGGGATAAAAGTTCGTATGAGGAATCAAGCTAGGGACGAACCCGAGCGAAGCGAGGGTGAGTCGCTAGTTTTAATTATTTTTGCATTACTTTATGGGTGGTCTGGTATCATTAAGTATGCGAGATTGGTTAGTTAGTTTGTCAAAGTTTCATGAAGCAATGAACCAACAATATACTTAAGTTATATTATAATTATAATGGTAGGTATTTGTCGAAAATTGCCATTCGTTCTCTAATAATAAATGCCTGTAATAATAATAAAAACTATGGATAAACTTTTACCGATACAACTTAACGTTAGACACCTCTTGATCTAACTATTCTAATTATAAACATTGTATTGTCAAAAATGCAACATATTTGAAAATATACCTAATCCTTATTAAAATTCCTATCTCATTTTCTAAAGAGACATTTATTATAATTTATAACAGTATCAGAAGCAACTGAATTTTTATAGGGGTATAGGTAAATTAATATAAATGCGAGTTTTATTAGTAGTGGTGAGGTATTCAATTAAGTTGAGCCTCGTTGTTACAGTGCCTTCCCACTTTTAGTTATGTCTGACTACGTTCCATCAGACTTGCTTGGATAAGTATATTGTTTTAAATGAAGCAATTTGCGTTGTTCGTTTACGGAATAACCGACGTTATGCTGTAGTATGTTATTTTATTACTACTCTACTTAATTAATAATCTGTACTTATTTATAATCTACATCTGTACTTCTATATTTTGTTATATATAAAAACTAGCAAGTAGCAACTCACCCTCGCTTCGCTCGGGTTCGTTCCTATAGATTTCTCAGAGATGAGATATTCTCCCGCAGTTAAAAGTATCTTATATGTTATCCCGGATAACCAGCTATCATCATACAAAATTTAATCAAAATCCCTCCAGTGGTTTTTCCGTGACGCGGTAACAGACAGACAAAAATTCTAAAAACTATAGATTCAGCCTCTGTATCGATAATAATGTCTATTTCAATAAGATTTTCTAAAATATTTAATGTACACATTCGGCTTAGTTACAATTTTATTTACGACTAGCATTGCCCGCGGCTCCGCCCGCGTTCAGATGACCAAAAACCAAATTCTTAGGTTTTACATATTAGTATACTCTTACAATGCAGTTTTTGTATTTTTCCTCAGAGATGAGATATTTTCCCGCGGTAAAAAGTACCCTATATGTTGACCCGGATAACCAGCTATCGTCATTACTAAATTTCATCAAAATCTGTCCACTGGTTTTCTCGTGATGTGGTAACAGACAGACAGACAAAAATTCTAAAAACTATAGATTTGGACTCTGTATCGATAATAGTCTATTTCAATTAGATTTTCCAAAAAATATTTAATGTACAGATTCGACTTAGTTACAATTTTATTATATGTATAGATTTTTACGATATTTGGTTAAAAAGCTCTACTAGCTACCTAGGTATCGCAGACTAAGTAATAATGATTTTTCCATACAGATCGTTCTCTTACTATAAAGAATAAGGAAAGTTTTATATAGATATCACTTAGTGGTTATTTCACAATTAATAAAAGAAGAAAATAATAATAATAATGAGTAAAGAAAATAATCCTTTGGTATTTTTAAGCATTAGTTCTCTTCTCTTACTCTTGAAAAAGAGATTTGTCTATAAAATCTGTTAGCTATTTTTCTTTACTGGTTAACATTTATTTACTTATCACAGTTATAATTACCTACTTTACTAATGTTACATATTATTTTAAAACATTTTTGTTTAGAGTCATATTTAGTTCTATGGCACTGTCTGTATTCCTTAGTCTGAAGTATGTTCACACTATAATAATTGTACCAGATCGATTCATTTGAGATTTTACATATGACGATTTTACAGGTCTAACTTTATCAGTCGATCATATTTTGACACCTTGAGGACTTATCGACCGACTCGGGCTAATTTGAGTTAATTTAAGTTCACCTATGGCCTCCCACAATGGGCAAACAATAGAAATTATTAAAACACAACAATAACTCTTTATTGCACACACAACATAAGAAGAAATATAAAAAAAGAAGAATACAGTAGTAGCAAAATGCACAAGAGGCGGCCTTATCGCTAAAACAGCTATTTCTTCCAGGCAACCTTTAGGTGTAGGATATAGCAAGTATTTTTTTCCTTGACTTACTTCATTAATAAATGCACTTTGTTTATTCGTATTTAAAACACTTTGTACACAAATGATACGAGTACAGATATTCACTGTTGTACATAGATGATAAATACCTATACACCTATATACTTTCTCACAAACAGCTCATTACGGTAGTTTTCCAATACAACCAATGCCACCTAAAGGCGGGTTGCTGAACTAAAGAGACAAGCGTGATATTTCAAAAAGTCATTAAAAGTCTGGTATTTATCGATAGATGGAAAAACTAAAAAGTATCACCGCTGTGCCGGTCGGAGTGGGGGGTGTCAGGTTTTTTCGTTACGGAATTTCTGGATTCGGTCCCCACGCTCAAGGCCCGCGATAGAAGCTATGCAATAGCTTAATAATAATATCAGTTTAACCAAATAAATAAAATGACTATATTATATATATATATATATACACATGAAAGGCAAGAAATATTTTAATACAAATAAGGATAATAGCTATACATATATCAGTACATATAATTTAAGAGTAAATTTCAGAATAAATAATAATGCAGCAATCCGCAGGAATTACTACACAATATTTACTATTTACTTAATAATCATTATGATAACATAAACATAAAGCTGACGAGGTCACTTTACTCAGACTTAATCACTTGTTTATTGTACGGTGTACTACTGTTAAAAACTATAACATATTTTTTTGTTTTATTAAATGCAAAATTATATTTTAATGTGCATATTTATAATATAAAATAATTGAACAGCTTACTCTTCAACATGATCTATCATCTAACTAGGATAATCATCGTGCGTTCACCTTGTCGTGGTGAGGGGCTCAGTAGTGCCCGGCAGCCGAGCCGGGCGCGAAGCCAAGAAACGCACAGGGAGGTGGCCCAATTCGGTGGGCGGTAGGAGGTGGCCCACTTCGGTGGGCGGTAGGAGGTGGCCCTCTTCGGTGGAAGCTGTACCATGCGGGTTGCTCCTGGTACTTCTCTGATAGCAGAGTGGACCTTGAAGCAACCCCGTGGTTGTTCTGGTCTGATCATATTTAATAATTACATTAATTAATATTTTCACTCTATTTTTACATATGAGTTTAATTATGTCATATAATAAATAAAACTAGAAAAATAAATGTCAATCATTTATTATGATCAATAAAGTAAATAAAATAAATTTAAATAATAATTACAATCAGAATAATAAGTAAAATGGGACAATAAAAATGATTTACCATAAGTAAAACACAACTATAATTTAATGTAAAGATTAAAAAACAATAGATATATGTTTATTGTTTGACAATGTCAAACCAAAATCTATAGTGTGATTAAAATTTATTTTAAAATATATAAGAAAATAACATTAAACTTTAATTAATAGTATAAAAATGTTTTAAAATCTAAATGTGCATGTGAGATATATATAAGAGACATATCATAAGACATATTCCGCGATAAACAAGATCATTCTCAAGGAGGGTTGACGTCAGGCAGGCGGCCGGTCGTAAAACTTTTGCCAAATCCGTTCAGCAGTACAGAGGATGTACTGCGCCGACCCCAAGTAATTGGGAAATGGGCAGGGAGAAGAAGAAGATATATGTTTATTGTTTCATTACAATTTTAAAATTTGGTTATGAAAACCAAATTTTAAAGTACAATTATAACCAATTTTATATGAAAATATTCTTTCATTTAGCAAAGAATACCATCTTCAATGCCTGCGGGGCTGATTCAAGTTGAAGTTGCAAATCAGCCTTTGAAGCTCCAGGGAAATTTTCCCACAAAGTCTTAACAGACACCAGGTTTCTCATCATAACTTTAGCCATTTTTTCGCCATTTGGGTTTTTTACTTTAGCAATCTTGACAACTGGTTCTATAGTCATTTTATTAAGCTGAAGTTTTCTCAAAGCACAAATTAATGGCCAGTAGTAAAATTGTTCATAAAAATGTTCTGTACCAGTAACCGCTGACAGAAAAAGTCTACATTTAGTCTCATTTCCATTATCCCAAGTAAGACCTAAGGCAAGGGCCTCGCTCGATTTCAAAACAGGAAACCTTTCTTTGTTCTCAAATGCGTAAGCTGCAACTAATCCACTCAGTCTGTTTGCTGTAAATTCGAAATTCTCAACAGAAACATTAGGTCCCGTTTTTTTTACTAGCAAAGGAGTGCTGAAAACAAAGATTTATTATTTATTAAAATTAACACAACATAAATAATTAGAAACTGCATATAGTCTACATGTTGACTATACTTTAGCAACTTTTTGCAATATTCTATCACAAGAGCTTTAAATATAACACATGAGGATAAAAAGTCATAGCGGGAAGCTCAAATTTATTGAAGCTTTTGAACATAACTCAAATAGCAGTGGTGTTATTGTTGACAAGCTTTAAGTTCTATTTTTATTATGGCCGAGTATTTTTATGCCAAAATTCATGAAATAATTTTTAAGATCATTGTAAACTTAAGAATTATTTAGCTTCATTCAAGGCAGGCAATTATAAAAAGCATATTGAAATTTTTAAAATGATTTTATCCAGCTAAATTTTTATACTTTTTAAATAACAAAGAATATCATCTGTTGTTTTTCTAATGAAGGAAAAAACATAAGACTGAAAAATATTCCCATGCTACCACTATTAACTCCACTGTAGGTTAAGCTGATGTTAACTTTGCTAATTAATAATTATTGAATATTTAAATAACTATTTAGTATGAAATTATTTCAGTATAAAATTGCCAGAAATAAATAAGTATATAACTTTTATTAAAAAATCTTTAAAAATAAACTGAAAAGTATTACTTTTCTCTTTCAGGGTTTGAGTTTTTTTTGACTTTCATGTGGAAGAACGCTTCCAACTTAAAATGAGTTAATCAAGATAAAAGAATTATAAAAGATGTGGCCATAAATTGCACATATTAGAGAGACACAAAATAAAAAAAAACATACAAAAACAAAAACAGCCCCATAAGTAAGTACCTCCTTCCTTTTAAAGTTAATCAATAATGCTAGTTTTTTTGGGTACAAATTTCAAAAATATTCCAGTTATTCTGAAGATTTCATACTAATATACCCCAATCATATAAAATAAACGTAACCTCTATAACATAAGTATAGAATAGAAATAATAAATTACGAACTTTCTTTCAAGGATCATTCCTTTGAGTGCAACCACTTCCCCAGGTTGTACCTTTTTTAACATTTGTCTTAATTCATATCCTTTCGATAGTATTGTTTCAATATTTTCACTGTGCCTCAAAAATTCTGAATCCTTATAAATATTGTAGAAGACTTTACCCGAAAATATTGGAAAAGACTCATTGCTTTTTGATGAAAACTCGAACTTCTTCATTTCCCTACAAACAAAATGTAATAAATTCATTTCGATTCTAACACTTAAAAATACTTTTTAATTAAATAAATTAATGTTGTTTAAAAATACAAAGCCATAAAAATTACTGTAACTTACCGAGGAGAAAAACGTATACAAAAACAAAAATTACGAATTGCTATATGTACCTAATTTGATCAAGGAACAATCACTAAGAATCTTTAAAGGTGTAGTACACCAATGCTATGAAGAACTTCTCACTTCAGAATACTGCACTATATTAACTTAAGCTGTGAATATAGATATCGCTAATTACTTACTAATTACAATATTATCATTAAGATATTTACATTTTACATACTTCTTATTCCTATTTATGTCCCTCTTTTGACAATTGATTTGGAGAAATTGGTGAAAAAGAGTACAAACGATGAAATCTTGAGTTATAAATATTATCAGCTATTACATTATCTTTGATCAGCTATACTACTATAGAAGTTTACACTTTAGTTACCAAACAACAATGAAATAAGTAGGTACCGTAAAATGGGGTGAATAGGGACAAATCCCAACTTTATGAACAACTAGCGGCTCACCCTCGCTTTGCTCGGGTTCGTCGCTAGGTACGTTTTAAATAGATATAAAAAGAAAAAATCTTTCTTTCTCACATTTTAATTATATGTTTTAATACTTACCTATTCCGGACTAAGAGAAATCCAAAAATTAAAATATCATAAAAATTGGAACGCGGTCGAACGGGATAAAAAGTATCCTATGTCCTTCTCCTGGCTCTAAACTACCTCCCTGCCAATTTTCAGCTAAATCGGTTCAGCCGTTCTTGAGTTATAAGCGAAGTAACTAACACGACTTTCTTTTATATATATAGATTTTAAGATAGTTGTTGATGGATATATTGCTAAATCAGGATGAAAGGGATTGAGTCTTGGTGGTATCTTTGTTATCTAGTTTAAAATTATGTAATCAGCATTCCAGTTTAAGTAAAAAAAACAAAAATAGATGTAATCCCTATTCACCCTGAAGTTGGGGTTAATAGGGACGAAAATAGTGTCAATAGAGAAATTTGCTAGGGCTAGCACTACTTTGTCAACCGACTTCAAAAAGGAGGAGGTTCTCAATTCGACTGTATGTTTTTTTATGTTTGTTACCTCAGAACTCCGTCATTTATTAACTGATTTGGACAATTTTTGTTTTGTTTGAAAGGGTATACTTCCAGATTGGTCTCATTTAAATTTCAAAAAAAAAATACTACTGCGGCCATATTGGCCATCTCCCTCTAACACAGGAAGGGTTATCAGATGATGAAATAAAATAGTAGGTACGAATTCAATGGTTAATTTTTTAAATTAATTTAAGTAAGTCATTTTAACTTTTTTATAAGTTTTTGAAACATTTTTGAATTTACAAGGTTATAATACATATAAAAAGTTTTTAAACATAGTAATAATCACATTTTGTAATTTGGCATATAAATTTGATACGTACACGCGAGGCATGTCTAAAAATTGAACATATGTAGTATCAATATTTGACACATAATAAAATAACAGTGCATTAATGTATATATAAAAATGAATTTAAATTTGTTAGTCTCATAAAAACTCGAGAAAAGCTGGACCGATTCGGCTAGTTATAATTATAATAAGAAAACTTCAGACAACTTTTATTGACGGCACAAAGTTCGCAGGGTCAGCTAGTAAATAGGTAAATAAAAGACACGACAAAAATATCATGAATATACTAAATAGTTACCTCACCTATAAAAAAGAATGTTATAAGTACTTGGTGACAACCCTACAATCCTGTACCTATTCATACTTAAGTCGTTCCTATTCAACTTATTCTCATACCAATTGACCCCTCTCTCGTTGTTATTAATACCTGAGACGTCCCTATTCGCCCCAAAAACATTAGATTTTACATAGATCTCTAATTTATCAAATAACATTTAAATCAATTAACAACTGAGACTTACCTTTAATACATATGATGGCCCAAACACTAAATAACGCTTTTAAATCACGGTCGTCTTTTAATACTATCAAATAAATTAAAGAAAGCAAAGTTTCTAACACTAAAATAATTGCCGCCACGAGATGTTATTTTTAAATGCGATTTTTTAACAGTTAGCAGCTAATTTCATGCATATTCAGTGTTGCCATGAAAACATTCAATATTCTACTATTACATCACAAAAAATAGAAGAATTTGTAACGAATTTAGAATTAATAGTCTGCGTCGAAATATTTTTCCGGTTTTATCCCTATTCACCTCTCAATCCCTATTCACCCCATTTTACGGTAGTACTAGTAGGTACCTATAGGCTATAATATAATAATTTTATTTGTCACCATGATAATAATGAAATGAAGTACCTGGGATTCCCGGCAAGGTGATCGAAATATTTATGGGTGCGTTCCAAATTATATTATTTTTGTTGAAGAATATGCTGTTTTATAAATTGCTATTATTATATTTTTAATATTTCCAGTTTTTATATAAAATATAAATTTAATAAGAAAATAAGATTTTATTTTAGCCTAAAGATTTATTTGACAAGACAGTCTACTGTTAAAAAGATTTTAAAATTGTATGCATTTTAAAACGTTTCTAAATTAAGCTTCATAATAAAGTAGCGCTAATTTTACTAAATTCTGATGAGATTTTTTTTCTAGTTTTTTTTTATTGCCCTAAACCCCAATCGTATAAAATAAACATAACCTCTCTAACATTATTTATTCTGATGAGATTTTATTCTAGGTTTTTAAAAACAACTTTTAAAATTTTTGTCTGTATGTCTGTCTGTCTGTCTGTTTGTTCTGATCTCCGAAACGGCTGGATCGATTTTAACGGGACTTTCACTGGCAGATAGTCGATGTTATGAGTAGTAACTAAGGCTACTTTTATTGTAGAAAAAGAATTAGGGTTCCGCTCAAAAAATTAAAACGTACCTGGGGACGAACCCGAGCGAAGCGAGGGTGAGTCGCTATTATGTCATAATTAGTTTGTTAGACGACATTAATAGCCAATTCTTTTCATTGAAAACAAATAAGTCATTAAAATGTAACTAAAAAACAATTAGTCTTAATTATATTCGTTTTTTAAAAGTGATAATTAATATATTTTTATAATTATCAATGTGCTGTAAGTACCTACGTATTTCTCTAATTGATTTGTTTTTATAAAGGATTTCAATGTCAAGAAAATGAAAGGTCTACACTCTACAGTCTATCGAATTTTGGTACAGCCGCTGATAAATAGAAGAAAAAAATCATAATTCGTTATACAAGATATGTCACTTGTCTATACATATAATAAAATTGTAACTAAGCTAAATCTGTACATTCAATATTTTTTGAATTTTTTTATTGAAATAGACATTATTATCGATACAGAGGCCGAATCTATAGTTTTTAGATTTTTTGTCTGTCTGTCTGTTACCGCATCACGAGAAAACCACTGGATAGTATTTTCATGAAATTTGGTATGATGATAGCTGGTTATCCGGGTCAACATATAGGGTACCTAGGTACTTTTTACTGCGGGAAAATATTTCATCTCTGAGAAATCTACACTCTAAAACGTAACTAGGGATGAAGAATGAGTCGCTAGTTCTCTATAAAAACACTCAAAATGTAATAAAAAAAAATTATTTTAAATTCCGTTAATACTTAATAAAATTAATTATAGAATTAATAAATACCTTTTATATATACGTTTACATTTGATATTATTTTGGTCCAGTAAATTCTCATGAAATCTCATTTCAATTGAGGGGGCATAATTGAAAATCTCATGAGGAAATATATATTACATAGATAATAAAACAAAATATTTTACACGCTGAAAAAATACCTAAGTTGTGTTATTTTTAGACTTTATGAAAATAAATGTAGTTCATTAACAACAGTCGCGTAAATCTTATGTGAGAGGTTCCCACCAAATCCCACCCACCAAAGGAAAGAAGAGTCTAAAGAAAAACAGCACACGTAATTAACGGATACTCAATATTGTATACAGGTATAATATGAAAACACAACTGATAAATTTTAAAGCAATTTATTGATTTCAAAAATAGCTAGTACATAATCACGCAGTACTAATAATTCAATATACTATATGATAATATGCAACTAACAAACACTTGTGAAAATTACAAAACTATACTAACACAATATGTAATTCAGTTCCAATAGTCCATATATCATTTGTAATAATAATAAAAGTCTATTTGTCAATCATAATATACACAGTAATTTATTAATATTACCTTTTTATAATCTACCTACTTACACTATTTTTACATTGATAAGTTCCTCATTCACACCGTACGTTAAAAACCAGTCAAAAAAATTAATACAAAAATATGTGGATAAAAATGCATAATTAAAAAACATGTACGGTGTGAGAGATACACTGTAACACACATTAAACTTGCAAAGAAGATTAACTGGTTAATTATAGTAATATAAAATAATAGACTAGTCGACGACATGCAATGTTATAAGCTAAGGCAAACTAACTAGCTTTTCATACAACTTTCACCCTTTTTGAGTGATAGAGAAACAGCTACGGATTTATTAATCAGGGACCGGGATATTATAGAGTATAAGCTCCTAGATTGCAAAGAAAATGACGAAGTTCTATTAGCTTCCTCTTTTGTAGGTTGCCAAATTTCACATAAATTATCGAACCATCTAGAAATGTCTATATATGCCCCAATCAGAAAACTAGCTTTTCGTACAACTTTCACCCTTTTTTGAGTGATAGAGAAACAGTTATGGATTTATTAGAGTCAGGGACCGTGAAATTATGGAGTATAAGCTCCTAGATTGCAAAGAAAATGATAAAATTCTATTACCTTCCTCTTTTGTAGGTTGCTAAATTTCACATAAATTATCAAACCATCTAGAAATGTCTATATATGCTCCAATCAGAATAGTATTATACTCAGAAATTAGGTGAAACATTTGCAAAATGAGTGACGCTATTTGCGTATATTAAATGTTATAACGAGACTATATATATATATATATAAAAAGCTAGCCATTACCAAACCTAGTACATATGAAGACGAGAATATTTAAGTGTACAAAAATGTTAAATAGCGTTATTTCAATGGCCGCTACGTGCAAAAATATATAACAAAAGACAGTGTTGAAAGAACTTTGGCGATATTTTAATCAAATATTTTGACTATATATAGCCACTTATTATTATATGACTGCTAGTAACAACTATGAATAATAAAATTGTATCAAATTAATTTTTCTATGGAAAGCTCCTTATAACTGTATTGAGCTCTAAAAAATTGAGCCGACAATAAATTTCACTTTGACAACATACAATTTGTGATAACACCGTATACATAGAGAGTGGACTGAGTACTTCTTTGCCAGCCAGCCGTCGGCTGAAAATGACGAAAAAGCACGACAGAGACAAAACGACTGTGCGGCCACCGGTCTTCTGAATTAATTGAAATATAATTAATGAAGATAGATACTTACAATCATTTTATATTCCATTATATTATAATTTTCAATAATATTATCATTTTTTTACATTCAATTTATAAATTCAAATTAGAACAAAAGTGAGTTAGGGAGTGGTCAATTTCATGACAGTATTGCTCAGTCCATTCTCTACGTCTTTGGATAACACTAACCAGTGACACTACACTACTGACAATATAAATCTTTATTATAATAATCATTTTATTTAATTTTTATGTTTTCAACATACAAATTTACGTTATAACGGCATTCAAAAAATAAATATTGAAATTTACAATAAATTCGTTAAAAGGCAATCGAGACTAAATGAAATAACGAGAACGTATTGCGAATCCCGAGAAAAATATATCTTTTGAGGATCTTTAGATACTCCATAATAATATCTATACACCTGTACTGATATAAATGTACACTAGCTGCTTTACTAACAACGAATTTAATATATTCTTTATAATTGTATGGAAAAAAAGTGGTGAATGTTTACATAAGTGGAATACATAATCATATAATAAATCACAGGGGCAGATCTTGAACTTGGGGGCTGGACTAACACTTCTTGGGGCTAAGCTAATTGTCATTTTTTCTTTACAAAATCTAGAATGGTACTGAACGAAATTAAGATGACGCAATTGTTTAATTCTTAATTGATCCCAGGGTTATTAGGTCAACCTTTTATGAACTTATTTTTTTTATAAATTTTGTTTTATTGTATAAATTCAACAATATTACCCATTGTTTTCAATAGGGAGTCAGTTATATCTTAGGGGCTGTAGGTTACAGCCCAAAAAACCTATATATAGGACCCACCCCTGGTAAATTCATATACATGTTACATTTCATTTTACATACGAATTCACCACTAAATTCTAAATATTAATATAAACACAATTATATAAAAAGATTAAAAAATTATAGTACATATTATATAAAACATACAAAAATCATATATATTTACAAATGCCAATTACACAAAATAAAATATCAATTCCAGATCGATAACACTATTTTCGAATATCACATTGAATTTTATTCTACATTCGTTACAATGAAATATAATATGGCGAGTGTATTTATATGTATATGCCATTATCACATAGACAAGACTTCACAGTTTGATAAATGACGGGTGACAGATGACAGCTGTCAAAGTTTACTTTAAAAATGGCCGTCTAATCCTATAGTTACATGGCAAAAGCTGGCGCGTTAACAGACAATCCCCCATCGTATTGACTTTCGTTAAAAAAAACCGAAATTAAATATTGTTGATATATTTTTTACCGAAAAGAGCAAAATTATTTCCAATGAACTGAGTCGAATCACAAAAATCCATAGTGGATTTACATATTTATAATTTTTACTCGTAGCATATAATTTTAATACTATTTTTATTAATAATTACAAGAAAGACAAAAAATACCATCATCTTATATATCTTTTACAGCTTATTTCCACTATGAACTATTAAAGCTTGCGTTCATACGTTTTAATACAGGAGTTCCCAACGGGGGGCGTAAAGTTTATTTCGTATAAATTAAAACAAAAACAAATAAAAACCGCTAAAATAATGTGTTTTATAGTAATAATAAAAAAATAAAGGGGGGTATCAAAATATAAATCGTTAAAGCAATTTGTTTTATTATAATAAAAAAAAATGAAAATATCCTTTATAACTGGGAGAGGCTCAACAGAAAGAAGAACGGTTGGGAAACCCTGTTTTAATTTTTTATCAATAAATTACGTCACAAATTGTATTAGTTATAAATAGTTGGTCAATGTGGCATTCGTTGATTTGAAAAAGTGCTAAGATACAAATCATATACCTATTACCTATATTATACTGGGTTTTATTTATTTTTATATTATAAAATTGTACTGTGTTTTACCAATACTCAATATGCTATAAAAGCTTTTTCCACAGTAACAATTTGTTTTTTGTTTGGACATCGAAGTGCGTGGGTTCGATTCCCGCTAGGGGTAATTTTTATACAAGGCCTATAAGTATTTATCACTGTATATATGTATTTCTATTTGTTCTATTACTTAGTTGAGGCTAAAATTGTCAATCTTGGCTATTATAATTAGAAATATGACGTAATTTAGAGACAATCTTATATACATTTGTAGTGTGTCAAGTGTTGCCATACTATTGTCAAATGAGCGTTATAATAATAACCTATATTATTCAATATCACATACTAATTATACAAGTTACGTATAAGATTGTGTCTGTTTGTTGGTAAATAACTGTAATAACCAAACAAAAATTTAATAGAATATTAAACTGCTCAATTATAATATCGCTCGCTAATACAATAACGCTCATCATATAGCAAGTAAATGCAAGCATTAACATTGAATATTATTGAAAATCTTCACATTTTAAGTAGGTTTAGTGCTCAGACTAAAAAAATATATAGACAGAGTCTGCTAAAATAACGACGAAGTTAAAAATAGTTGCATTAGTATGGAATAGTAAAACTCTGTGAAAAACAAAAACAAATCTTTCCCACGGGAACCGTACATTTACCTGGGATAAAAAGTAACCTATGAGATATTCCAAACTATAATCTAAATTTCATCCAGATCCGTTCAGCCGTTCTGGCGTGATTGAGTAACAAACATCCATCCATCTAAGGTTTCGCATTTATAATATTATACTCGACGTTTACTTTGTTTAAAAAATAAGAGATATTTTATATAGGTTTTAGTTGTAAATTAAACATTATAAGGAAGAAAATATGAACGAATAAAAATAAAATCCGTTAGCCATTTTTATTAATTAATATTTATTTACTTATCACTCAGTATACAAATTGTCATTTGTATACTATTTTTGAACATTATAGTTTGGCTTCATATTGTTTAGTTCTATGACACTCCGTCTATATTATACCTTAGTCTGAGTTTTAGTGTGACTGAACATAGGATTTTATTAGTTATAATCATTGATCAAAAAATTACTAGATACACAATCAACAACAAAAAATGTCCTCACCGAATGAGCGCTCATTTGAGCATTTGATTGCGCTTTTAATTTATTCATTTTATGTAAAAACAACTTTAGGCATTGCATTTAAGGTTCAATTTACATTTTTGTATATTTATTTCAACTGAAATAACTACCTAAACACAATTGGTGACAATTTTAAGGGAACTTTCAAATGGAACTGTGTATCTAGTACTTTTTTAATCTATGGTTATATTTGATCAACTTAATATTGAAAAAAAACATGACCACTAACATACTATTTTCAATGAGTAATAATAGTTGAGTGAAGGCAATGAGGAACAACATGTCTGTATGGTAGCCTATAATTCTTTACAGTTCTGGCGGCTAGGCATTTTAGTGTTGTATATTTAAGTGGATTTACTATAGAATTGAGGCTTTGTTGGCTGGACTTAAGTATTTCTTCAGGGGTTTCCCCTTCATAGTTCACTGTGTCGATATGAGCGCCGTGAGATAGCAACTCGCGTACAACTTCTGCTGGACATGGGTTCAACTGGAATACAAAAAAAAAAAATTATTTATATGTAAAAAACATATATTTCATATTATTATTGTATTTATAATTTATATACCTATGTAGAAATATATATAATACATTATAATGTATGTAAAGATATATTTTGAACTACTAATTGTTTTTTGTACGTAAGTGGATACTAAAATTTTCAATGGCTATCATAAATCTTCAAGTTAGGTCAAAACCTTGTTTCATTTGGTTTTTTAATACTCAACATGATTACCAATTGCCTTAGGGCGAAGGAAAACATTGTGAGGAAACCTACATGTCTGACAGAATCTAGCAAGTTTTGTCGTGGTGGACTATGGCCTGATCCCACTCGTCTCCACTTACTCCCTTTAATATCAGCTACCTTCCAGTGTCAAATCAGTCCTGACAAAATCAGTCCAGCTGTTACGGAGATTATCCGGAACAAACAGACAGACAGACAAAAATAAAAAAAAGTGTTTTTCTAATAAATACCGTATATAATTCAATATGCATTTAGTAAGACGCTGTTACTTTGACATTACAATCAGACAATTCAATTTTATTTATCTGTACAGATGTTGTTTCTTGTGTATGTATGAAAGTAAAGTTGTTGATTAACCTAATAAAGAGAAAAGAAAAACACACACAACACAACTAACCTTACAAACAAGATGTAACGGCGTGTTGCCGTCCGCGTCCCTCGCGTCGGGCGCGGCGCCCAGCCGCAGCATGAGCGCCACCAGCGCGGGGCACGCCTCGCCGCCCGGGCCCCCCGCCGCGGCCCCCGCGCCGCCCGGGGCCCCCGCCGCGGCCCCCGAGGCCCCCCGCCCGCGCCCCACCTCCGCCGAGCAGGCGACGTGTAACGCTGACCGGCCTTGACGCACCTGGGGAAAACAGTGACGAGTGAAATGTTATCTCATTACGTAAATTCGTCGAAGAAAAGTACTATATACTTATACAATCAGCGACAAAAAATGTCCTCACCGAATGAGCGCTCACTTGAACATTTTAGCACCCTTTTTGTTGCGAAAACAACTTTATGCATTTAAGGTTCAATTTACATTGTTGCGTATTTATTTCAATTTTAATAATTAATACTCAAACACAATTGGTGACAGTTTTAATAGAACTTTTACATGAAATGCTGTTTCTAGTTCTCCTTTTTTGATCGACGCGTAAATAAGGACAAGGTTATCCTGCTATCATTTTGTAGTTTTTCCTAACGAAATAAATAATCGTAAGATGAGAATAAATCGGCAAAATAATTAGAGAAAGTAATTTTATTTAAAATATCAAATATTTTCGTAAATCTAAAAAAGTTGTAAATTATTGTAAGATTTGTTACAAAATGAATTTGATTTAACATGTCCATTTATCGGTTTGAATACAATATGATAAGTATACGCTTAACTGCGGCCACATGGCATTTATTGTAGTTTTAATATTCATAAAGACTTTACGGTAAGTTATTAAAAAAAAACTCTGATGAAAAGTCGAGAAAGAGTATGAAAAGTCTACAAATAACTTTATCTTCCATATATTCATATTTCGTCCGTAGTATAACCGTCAAATGTAATCATATGACTTCGCGAGGGTGTGGCTTCGCATAATACACATAACATAATAATAAAAAAAAACAAACCTTAATATCCAACTTGACGAGCCTGTACACGGCCTTGTGTATCTGCCGCGAGACGTGGTCGGTGCAGCCGGGCGCGGCCAGCAGGCGCGCCAGCAGCGCCGCCAGGTGCAGCGAGATGACGAGCACGCGCTGCAGCGCCGCCAGCGTGTGCTCGCGCTCCGCCGCCTTGCACGCGGCCAGCTCCATGCCCCTATCGATCTCTGATAACGCTTTCAGGAACACCGGCTCTATGTCTTCGAACGTCACCGGTGGGACTATGCGACCTGCGACCGACAAGGGAAAATACAATGTTAGAACGTAATATATACAAATTGAGAATTCACAATTGGATTAATATTAGAAATACAAAAGGTTGTGTGTATGTTTGCTATTCCTTCACGTTGACGATTAGTCTAGCACAGGTAAACTATGATCTGGAGTCGCACATAGGGATTAGTAACAATATTAGTCAAAATGTGGCCTATATTTTGCTACATATTATAAATTAATAATAGAAAGATAAACTAAAAAGGTTATAAGGCCATAATTATGAACATATAACGATAATAAACTACCAGTATCATGACATCTATACTAATATTATAAAGAGGTAAAGTTTGTGAGTTTGTGACGTTATAGAGAGTAATCTCTGGACCTACTGAACCGATTTATATGACACTTGGTAAGAAGATAGTTTTAGACTTTGGGAAGGACATAGGAAATCATCCCTTAAGGGGGTGAAAACGGGGATAAAAGTTTGTATGGTGAATCAACTTAGGGACGAACCCGAGCGAAGCGAAGGTGAGTCACTAGTTTTTAAATAAACTGAAAAACCTCACTCATTTAAGAATTACCGTAATATTTTAAACACAAAATCCACATTAGCACGCGACCAAGCAAAACGTGGGCACATCACCAGTATCACTCGGTGACTCACCTCTGAGAGGAGGTCGGGCCCTCTCGGCCAGCATGTAACTGAACAGCTCGGCGAAGCTGTAGAGGCTGGACTGCGTGAGCGGCGACAGCGGCGGCAGCACGGCGCGCTGCATGTCCAGCGCGTGGTGCCACAGCTGGCGGCAGCGCGAGAAGCGGCCCGCGTCCGCGTACACCGCGCCGCGGTAGCGCACGTAGTACGACGTGTCCGGGTGGGCGGGGCCTGGCGGGGGATAGCATATCAATTAGGAAATGCTGCTGCTTGTAACGTCTAAAACCTTAGTCTCTACCGTGACCACGATGTATTTAATGTATACTAGTATAGTGTACCCAAACAGGCCCCCCAATGTCTAGCATAGATGTAAATAAATAAATATGTTGGGAGTTGGGACATTAACACACATCACCATCTAGTTCCATGGTAATCACAAATCTTGTGTTATGGACACCAGATGGTGGGTACACTACATATATATATATATATATATATATATATATATATATATATATAAGAATGAAAAAATCAACAATAATCATGGTCGAAGTTCGACCACTCGGCGAACTCTAGCTCAAATTAATTATTTGATCTCAAAATTAAAATTTGTAAATTAAAACTTTATATTTGTCTGGTTTTGACATCTATCGACACTCTTGAGTGTTAGCGTTAACACGTCACGTGACCATGTCGATGACGACTTACATGAATTTACTCCCCATCCAAATCTGTCTATAGAAGTTTTCACTTGGACGGATGGATGTTTATGACTCTTTCACTAAAAAACTACTGAACGGATTCTGATAAAACTTTACAGTAACATTGCTAGTACATCAGAATAACACACAGACTTTTAAAGATGTAGTAATACATAATCGAACTGCGCGTGCGGAAATGCTAGAACGATAATAAAACAAGTAAATACGAATAAGGCCATAACAATGACAATAAGTTACAAATTACTATACAAAGTGTATTGTGAGTCACGACACGATATTTACACCTCCCATCGCCAAATTTAGAACAAATTGAATGTTTTTGTTTTTTAATACAAATCGAAATAATTTTGTAACAAAGCATTTTTGTTAAGCCTTGCATATGGCACAATTTCAGAATTTCTACATTTAAGCATCTTGTGGAATAGGTAATCTTGATATTCTAACAACAACAGTTTAGTTAGTTACATTTTGATCCATATAATAAAATTCTAATTGAGTTGAATCTGTATATAAATCATTTTTTGGAAAATGTTATTAAAATAGTATTTATTATCGATACAAAACCCGAATGTATAGTTTTTAGAATTTTTCACGGAAAAACCACTAAAGGGATTTAGATGAAATTTTGTATGATGATAGCTCGTTATACGGGTCAAAATATAGGATACTTTTTACTGCGAGAAAATATCTCATCTCTGAGAAATCTATACTAAACCTTAAAACGTAATTAGAACGTAATTAGACGAACCCGCGCGCAGCGAGAGTTTCAAACAAAAAGTCGGTAACGTTCTGGTTTTGTATGTTACAAGCATGAACGAATTAACCACTGGACCAGACATATAAGCGGACGTACCTTCACCGGTCATGTTAGTAACCAGGGTAATTTTAGCCTAGGTCGTTGGTTTTTTGTGTCAGTCTCAAGCACTTACTTGTCAACAAAACATCTCCCAAAAATGACTAAATGTTCTGTTAAATGGTGTGAAAACTATAACGGCGGAAGCAACACTATTTCTTTTCACTTGTAAATACATTATTTTATTACATTTATTGTTATTTATCACAAAATTCAATTTAATTTAAAATAAAATGTCATATTATCCAACTATGTTAAATATAGTCGATATTTCTATGTATTGTTGACATCTGACAACCATCATAAACGGGCAGGATTATACCATTCAGAACAAATGACAAAACTGTCGAGTGAGTCCATTTGACAGCGACTTGTGCTTGACAATGTCGAAAAATATATCGATATTTGACGAAATAACTGAACGAATTGTGTTATTTGTACAGTACAATAACATAAAATATTTTATCACAGTATCCTACAATCTGATGACAATAAATTTATAATATTTTCTGAATCAAATAAAAATATAAATGCAAAAATTATAATTAGTATGTGTACTTTTTTTTTATACCACATTTATACACTGGAATATTATTCCATTGTAATAATAATAAAGATCATTTTATTTCAACACATAAATTACACAAAATCAAACAATAATGTTATAGCACTAAACTTCTGGGTTGGCGATTTGTAATAAAACACTTTACCACTTGCACTAATTATTTTACTTTCACGATCCAACACTCACTTTTTCACAATTTGCGATCATTTTTTCTTTTTCCTAATTTCACAAATGTTTATTAAGAACTGAGCAATATTAGGAAAGTATCATATTTTTATAACTACCCGAGACAATCAATTGCCAATTAAAATAGTTCAATAACAGAATCAACAAAATCACTTTATTTAATTAAATTAGCTTAATATTTTTTTAATCTTTACAAAATAATATTTATTATATTATTAATTTATTCATTTGTTCATTAACATTATTATAGGCCAACAGAATGTAGCCATCAATGCCATCGTATTTATATAAATCAAATTAAAAAAAATATGTTTGATGACATGTTTGGCTCAGTTTGTAGTGACCCTACTTGCTGTGCCAGCGGTCGCGGGTTCGAGTCCCGCTGGGGGCATTCATTTGTGTGATGACAAATGTTTGTACTCCAGTCATGGGTGTTTATATTTATAATATGTATGTATTTAAAGTTATATATGTGTAGTGTATCAACTATCTAGTATCCATAACACAAGCCTCGTAGCTTACCATGGAACTAGATGGCGCTGTGTGTTAATGTCCCAACATATTTATTTTTTTATTATTTAATTATTATTTGACACATTATTATTGCCTTATTAATTCATTTATTTTAATTTATTATATAATTACAGATATTTTAAATTAAAAGTAGTAAAATATGATGACTATGCTTACAAATGTCTAAAATGTCATTCATTAGTTCATCGATATATGTATTTTATCGATTACGTTCAAGCACTAGAAATATTGTATTGTGTATCAGTGTTTATAATAATGTAATAAAATCTTTGTGTGCGTTATGCGTCACTTGGTTGAACTAGTTTTCATACATTTGTATTTTATGTCAGGTCCAGTCTCTAATTCGTCCATGGTTACAAGATACAACATACAAACATATTATACGCGATATCTCCACCAATTATGAACCGATTTAGAGTGCCTTTATACATAACATACGGAACCCTTAAGAAACCTATAAAAAATCTCTCTAACACCCACAATTCCCTATGAATTATCATCTCAACTCACCCAATATCCTCTCCCGTATAACCAAAGCCTGCATCCTCATAGCATCAGGGTCTGCGAGTAGCTCTTCGAGTTGTTGCAAGTTGGTTGGTTCTACCGCGTAATCGTACGCTTCTATGCGAGGTATATCCTTCGGTTTGGGTATGGGCTCACTGTCGTCCGGTGGAAATCTGGAATGGACATGTAAGAAATTAAAATTAAAAACGTTGTTTCTAAATTAAGAAAATACGCTAGATGGTAAAGTTTCAGTGGAAACGGGGAAAATGGCTATTTTCGACGCAAACAAAATTTGTTGATTTCATGTTCCCAACACTCTCAATATATTAGTTTTAAACGCTTCTCGCTATTACGCATAAAAAGCTTTTTGTTTCTAATACTTTTGGAAAATGTGTTAAAAAAAATAAAGTAGGATTCGACAGAACGGGTTCTTAACCTTGAATAATTCCAAAAACGTAGGCTTGCACGATTTCCAAAATTTGTACTTTATATGGATCCCTTGGAAGAAAATCAAAACTCTTTAAAATGCAATCACATAAAACAAAAATTAAAAAAAAAGAAAGATTTTTAACGAAAGATTTCAAAAAATAAATTTTATTGTACACATATCCACATAACCCCAACTCACCTATCATCCATCGCTCGTTTCCATAACGCCAAAGCCCCGACCATATCCCGCCTCTTGTCAACGTACGTAGCGCCCAATAGCTCCAGGGCGTCGATACGTTGCTGTCGCGACACTAGGCCGTTATCAGTATTTATTAAGTGCTCTACTATATGCGTGTGACCTGTTACCGAGGCAGCTAAGAGAGGTGTCATACCTGGAATTGTATTAAATATGTTTAATTAAATATGTTGGAATATTAACACATAGCAACATCTAGTTCCATGGTAAGCTAAGAGGCTTGTGTTATGGATACCAGATAATTGATACACTACACATGTATAACTTTAAATACATACACATTATAAATATAAACACTCTTGACTGAAGAATGTTTGTACATTCGTGCTCATCACACAAAGGAATGCCTCCAGCGGGGCCCGAATCCGCGACCGCACAGCAAGTAGGGTCACTACAAACTGAGCCAAACGTGTCGTCTTCCAATTGTGTTTTCATTGTTATAATGCAAAAATATAGTTTTATTTAAAAATCACAACATTGGCGTAAATCTAAGGACGTATTATATTTATATAAGTATTATAATATAATTCAATTCTTTTGTTAATGGCTTTAAAGCGTAAAGGGTTTAATTTTCTTGTTAATGACATTCGAGCAGCATGCTGCTTGATCACGATTTCTGTCGGTAATGTCAAGTTGAAATTATTGTTTATATATGGGTTTATTTACCCCTATAATTTAATTAACATGTAGAGCTTTATTTAACATTTTTATTTTCAACATTGACGTGTCTATTGTACGAGTATATATTGATCGTGTGAGAATGTTAATAAAACTATTATTAACTCATCAAAAGATAAAAATAGTTTTATTAAAACAATAACTAATTTGATGTTTCTAGAATCTTAAAAAATAACAATTATTATCTATTTCTTATGCATTCGTACTTTTAAAACAATTATCAAATTACCTTGTCTCTAACTCTTGACGATTCATCTAACAAAAACTGCTTAAATTAAGAAATATGGAAAATTTAAATCAAGCAGTATATATTTCCATATTTAAGCAACGTAACGGAAAAAAGATAACAATTTTAACAAACAAAGTCTCGTCATAACGATGCCAACTTTATATGTTTTTATCTTTTCTATACAACAATCATAGAGTTATAATATTATTCGGGCTAGCAAGTTTAATAAACCAATATAATCACTAGTGAAAAAATACCTGGGTATATATACCATTTTTAGCAAAGATAGCTTATCAAAACTTTATAAGTGATTAATAATAATAGCAATCAAGGCAATGGTAGTCCAGTAGTAGCACGCTCGCTTGGGAATCCGAGTGAAGTGGGTTCAAATCCCGAGTCTCGCGCCTCTGATATTTCCATGTGCGAATCATTTCCAACACAATTTCCACTTGTCTCATGGAAACATCGTGAGGAAACCTGCATGTCTGAGAGAACCTAGCAAGTTTTCAAAAGACATGTGAAGTCCGATAATCCGCACTTGACCAGCGTGGCGGACTATGGCCTTATTCCCCTCGCATAGAAAGGAAGCCCGTGAACAACAGTGGGACTTTAGAAAAAGGGGTGAATACAATACAATCAAATAGCAATAACAAGAAGTGAAGCTCTCGCCTTCGCTTCAATTCTTAACCACCATTTGCATACAATATAATAAATCTAAATATATATTTTCCTTTATCGGACTTACCGTAAGAATCCACATCCATAGTAGCTCCATGCCCTAACAGCATCTTGAGTATATGTAACGACCCACTCTCGGCACAGTCGTGCAACGCCGTGTTGCCTTTCACACTCTTCCTATTCACGTCGGCATTTAATGACAGTAAGTACTTCGCTATGTGTATATGGCCTTTGTAACAAGCTATCATGAGGCACGTGTGGCCGTGACGATTCGCTATTTCTATATCTACAAATAGAAATAAAACATAAATATAGAATCTCGACAACTCTTTATTATATTAATTAGGTCGCTTTCCCATGCAAACTTTCACCCCATTTTCACGCTCTTAAGGGATGATTTCCGGGATAAAAACTATCTTATGTCCTTTTCCCGGGGTCTGAAACTATCTTTCTACCAAATTTCATCTAAATCGGTTCAGTAGTTTCGGAGCCCATTCGAAACAAATTTTTCTCTTTATAATATTAAAATAGATGAAACATATTAAAAATAAAAATAAAAGATTCGAAACTGCTTTTATGAATTCCAAGACATAAATTGCAAATCATATTACATATTACGCTAAAATATAACAAAAATTTTATTAAAAGAAAAAATTATGAAATCGGCTTTTTAATACTGCAATTAAGCCAATTAGCAGAAACTGCAACCGCAAAATTTGCGAATTTGACTATATGAATATTAATAAGTATGTATCATTGTTTGGTATAATTTATTAGGTAGTTTAGTAATTTCAATACGAGTATAATATCCCGAGGGAATCACTCAAGATACTAGGATAAAATGTATCCTGTATCATTCTCCAGTCAATAAGCCAAAAAATTAACTCGATATATTTGTTGTCTCGGGAAATAAGGACAGACGGACAAACACTTCATTTTTATTGTAAGCAAATATTTACCATTAAATATTACCAGATAGTAATGAACACTTACCCGCGCCATTTTCAACTAGGAACTTAACAATATCATAATGTCCATCAAAGCAAGCCGCTCTGAGGGGTGTACTGTGCGTGCGCGTTGTAGAGTTAACGTTAGCGCCCGCGCGTACTAACAACCGCACTAGTGGCAGGTGACCGGCCGCGGCGGCGCACCATAGCGGGGGCGCACCCTCTATCGTCTCGCCGTCAAAAGTTACTGGAAATTTAAAAAAAAATGGTTCCTTATTATATCTGTGGAATGTAAATTTTATTATTATTAACGTCACTTGCGTACTTCAATAGTGTTATATAAAAATTTCATAAACCGAAAGCTACTTTCATTCCGAATTTATCTCAAATCGGTTGAGTCGATACTGTATGACGTAATAACAAATACACATTCACTCACAACCCTGACGGATTTCGGCCACGACGGCTAATCTCACTGAGACTAGCCAACTGCGCAGGAGATATTATAGTGCAGGACATAAGTGTACACCGATTCCGAGCTGTTACAGGGACTTTTTTAATAGAAAGACTCAATAACTAAACTTGGCCCGAGACTCGAACTCGAACTCAGGACCTCCTGTGCAGCCGTACATGCTGGCCACAACATCCACTGAGACAGCACTCACAAACTACTGTTTTTATAATAATAGTGATTGAATAAAGTTGTTTCGGTAAAACATATCAGTACAAAAATAAAAAAAACACGCAGCTGTTACAAAACATGTACATAAATATTGTACACTCCGACTGCATAATAATTTTTCTTCGTCAACTTGTTTTCATCTTTTTAGTTCGCCTTTTACGCAGTCGGGTTTTTTATTTTTGTAAATAATTTTTTGATTTATTTATTTATTTATGTACCAGAAAAAAAAACATACAAGTTAAAACAGATGCCATGTGTACAAAGGATGACTTATCTCTTTAAGAGATTTCTACCAGATACCCTCAAGCGTGAGAAAATATAAAAATAATAATGCGGTGCGGTGTAGGTACAAACTACAAACATCAATTATAATGTAAATATACATATATACAAACATACGTACATACATACATACATACATATATACATATACATACATACATTTGTTGTTTATTAGCATTTTTCTTTTCAAATTACATTGAAACAAATAAGTTGTGTACATTTTTGTAAGTCATTTATAAAACCCTTTATTTTGATACCCCATTCGATAGGTTTTGAGGAAAAAAAATTTTTTAAGACATCTATTATTCTAATTTTAATATACCCAGTCTCAGAATTAAAACGAATCTAACGACACTTCTTAAGCTAAAATCCATCAAGCCGTTTAGGCTACAAAGCATGCCAAAGAAATAATAAAAAATACATACATAAACAGACTTAAAAAACATAATATATATAGTATATATATAGAATCATTATAACAAAATATAGAATCATCAATTAACGCGTTATACGTATTATATCTACATAGTACACACACACGCACATATACACACACATACCACACAAACACACGCGCGCACAAATACTTTTATTTTTTAAATTTTACTTTTGTTTTCATTACTTTTTTTTTAATCTTGTAGAGGTTAACTGGAGGAATAGTCCTCTTGCATTGCTCCCGCTCAACACCCGAGGGAGCTGGGTGTAACTGAAAATCAGCGCTGCTTGAGATTTAGGTCTTAGCAGCATTAGCTGAGTTATTACCCTTTGCCATAAGTTACTTTAAGCCTTACTGATTCTGCTAACATTTGTTACTGTTTTTATGGCAATAAATACTATTTATTATTTTCATTAGTATTGCTTTCCATTGTTAAACAGACCGCTACTCGAGCCCATTTAACGGGCGTTCATAAATGTCGTTACAAAATTAACGCCTGTTATCGCGATAATGAACGGCTTTAAGCCTTAGTGTGGTCCTAGTATAACGATGACTAAATTAATACACAAGTTTTAATCTCGCTATAGACACTTACATCAAACAAAGCCTTATTTTATCACTGTACAATGTAAGTTGTAGTCCTGCGCCGCGCTGTGTTTGTTGTTTGTTCGAATTAATCTCAGTAACTACGTAGATTATCTTGGAAGGTTATAGATTGTAGCTTTCGAAGATTTTGTTAAAATAAGATATCGGTATGACGTATATGTATGTATCATGTGAATTAAGTCAGAAAAAGCGTCTCTTTCGAGAGCAATTCGTAATATTATAATTCGTAATATTATAAATTCAAAGGGGATCTAGAGCCAATAGTTGAATTATATTATAATATTGCCATAGGCATAGAATATGTTATTACGCGCAAAGGTAAAAGTGATTAAAACGCAAGGTGAAATGGCGGTGTGCCAAGCAGTTGACGCAATAGAAAAGTCAATGCGGACGTAGGTGAAACACAACAACATTTACAATCTATACATATAATAAAATTGTAACTAAGCCGAATCTGTACATTAGATATTTTTTGATACAGAGGCTGAATCTATAGTTTTTAGAATTTTTGTCTGTCTGTTACCGCATCACAGAAAAACTACTGGAGGGATTTTGATGAAATTTAGCATGGTGATAGCTGGTTATCTGGGTCAACATATAGGATTCTTTTTACCGCGGGAAAAATTTCTAAGAAAAAATACAAAAACTGCAATGTAAGATATATAATAATAAAGATTATATACTAATATGTAAAACCTAAGAATTTGGTTTTTGGTCATTAAACGGGAGCGGAGCCGCGAGCAATGCTAGTCTTCAATAAGATGCTTACACAATTACATATGCCAACTTCGCTAAAAGTTTCTTGACAATAATATTTTCCTACTACGAAGGTATTAAATGAATACATACCTAAAACCGAGTTCTAACCTAAATTAATACCATTTTTATCTAACAGCAAAAAATGGTATTCGAAATCTATGGTCCTTGCTTCGTTACACGCTTCTAGCAAGGTAATGTTATAACATTACCGGGCTTCTAGCTTTTTTAATTCATATCAACTTTTAGATTATAATCATCAAATCTCAAAAGATTGTACTCGTATAGTATTTATAATATGTATAATTATATTATATACATAACTGCACTAATGTCTCTTGTACTCGTATAGGCTTGTAGACATGTAGGTAAGGCCACATGAGTAAAGAAATTACTCATGTGATAACTTGATAAGGCCGCCTTCTTTGTGTGTTTATGTATTTTTGTTTCTATCTTTTTCTTGGTGTAATTGATTGATTGAATTGACATCTTTTGAGATAAGTTGTCCTCATTTACCCCTGTATCAATTGTAACTTAAAGGTAAATATAAATAATATATTTACAAATAAATTTTATATTATTAAGTACCAAAGCGAAAGATAGACCAAAAACAATTCAAAGGTAATATTGTAAAAAAAAACTTTAATAATCATTTCCTGAACTGCGTATACATATAATACTTACATATTATAATACAAAAACCTTTTGATGAGCAACCGCTCACAAAAATACGATTCGATCATATCAGATAATTAAGGCTACACGTTTTTTGCTAGCTGTTAGTTGTACTAGGTTCTTAATCAGTATGCATCAACGTAAAAAAATCTTCTACTGATATTTTTAGAAGTTAAAAAGCACAAACAGATCTATCCCACGGGAACCGTTTCTTTTTCCGGGATATAAAGTAACATGTTGTTTGACCTGCAATATAAGGTATCAGCATGCCAAATTTTACTAAATTAAATGCATATGTTGTTGTGTACTAGGCTGTATAAGTTACTATATTTTTTTAACTATTCCACAGGAACTCTTCAATTTTTTGGGATTAAAAGTATTTAAAATGTTGACCGGGGATATAAGGTATCACCATGCAAAATCGGTCCAACAGTTTCAGAGATTAGCCCGTACAAACAGACAGAGAAACAAAAAAAATGAAAAAAAAACTGGATTTGTTCTATTTCTCTTCTAACATATCCCTGACTCGGTTTTTAGCATTTTTTTATGTACAGACATTCGACCTCTACAGTTTTATTACAAGTATGTATAGATGAAGTACTATATATAAATTAAGTCAACCTTACACACAAAGGATAACAAGATATATACAATGTCACATATTTTAATATTTAAATTAAAAATGGTTAGCAAATAGCAATGAAATGAGTGGGTCGTGAGGCTTTTTGCACATTTTATGCCAAAAAAAAAATAAGTTATAAAAGCATAAGTGAAAGTTTACTTTAAATAAACAACTATTTTTTCGTGTTTTTTTTTTCGAGTTTTTATTTAGATGATTGGTTTCCGACGATTCGCGTAAATATAAGAAAATACATACATATTATGAAAGTTTATCGCCAATATTACAGTGCAATAAGTGGTAAGTTTCATCATATTAAATTTGAGAGCCAAGAATATTGTACATAGCACAGCTATTACAATTTACAAAGCTTATATAGAAATATATGAACAAGAATTTCTCACGCAATAACCTCTGGACTGATTTCAATTAGATTCCATTTAATTTTTAAACTTTGGTAATTATAAATAGTATTTACTTTTCATAATATAAACAAACATTTCAAACAAAATAAGTATAAAATTTTCGGACGTTAAAACTATTTTACATATATGTACATATATACATACATACATACATACATACATACGTATGTATGTATAACAAATAATCTTGCTAATCTCATATACTATATATATTATAATTTATTTGTGTGTATTATAATTTATTATAACGCAAAATTAATGAACTTATATAGCTATAAAAGTGCTAGGAACTCGCCCTCGCTTCGCTCTGGTTCTTATCTAGATATGTTAACGGTTAGTTTGTAGTTGGTGTGGGTTGTATTATAACGTGTTTTCCCGTGGGTATGAGATAATCCCCCGCGGAAAAAAGTAGCCTATGTCACTCCCAGCACGTCAACGGTCAACTATCTCCACACCAAAAATCATGCCAATCCATAACTCTGTTTCGACGTGAAAGAAGGGCAGACAAACAAACAAACAAACAAACAAACAAACAAACAAACAAACAAACAAACAAACATACAAACAAACATTCGCATTTATAATTAATAATACATATGAATTACGTATGCTAGTAAAATTGCATCAAAAGCAAGTATTATATGACAGTCATTAATTAGTTAATTACATAATAATGTAATAATTATTATTTAAAATTTTAAATATCAATCCCTAAGTCTGAAAATGAAAAAGATATACAGCCCTTTTAGAGAAGGTATCTATAATTAATTTTACTTAAAAAAACTTAAAATGTATCTATACCTAATACCTATGGGGTTGATATATTCCGAGACCTAGACCAATACGATGAGATGATAAGAGAAATTTCTTATCTATCTATTACTCGTATCTCACCTGAGCCAGGCTGTTCGATGTCAGCTTTACACCGTTCTATGAGGTATTCGGCGACGTCGTAGTGACCATTCCTGCACGCTATGACCAAAGGCGTCGCACCTGTCGTCTTCACACCTACCAACATGCTCAACTCGTCAGAGCGCCAACTGTGTAGGTACATCTGGAACAAATTGAATCTATTTTATTATACCAGTATTTAATTGTGATTATTAACTTGGCTATTTAAGTTCTATTACCAGTATATATAGTATCTTCTGACTATCTTTCAGTACTAAAGATATTTTTTTTTGTAAAATTATGGGTAGACACACTCCGTAACAAGTACATAAAGCCTTTGAGACGTCTAAAACCTTAGTCTTTCGGGTGACTATGATTGCTGTAAAGCCTTCGAAAGGTCGGGAACCAAATATCAAAATAAATCCACGAAATAATCTAAAAAGATAGTTTTATTTTAAATACTGTTATTGTATTATGGTTCATAATTTATAGTACCTACCGTCGCGAGAAAGTGAAACACAAAAAAAAGCATAAATAAATAAATCTATAAAAGCCAATACCAGCCAATTATATCTTACAAGCTATTCAGATATAATTGGACATTGGAAAAACATAACTGAAAAACATTGAAGAAACGACAAATATTGAATTTAACTGCCTAATTGGGTTGTGAATTATCTACCAGTTATACCAAGATATTATCAGAGCGAAAGACTCATATTAAACTAGATGTGATTTCGGTGAGACGCAGTGATAAATGATTTTTTTGGCAAATTATACAACTAAAAACAATATATTTTTTGGCAAAATTATACAACTGATAACATTAAAATAATACTTTATTAAGTGCACATACTTCTTCTTTCAAACTGTTTGGTTAGCAATCTGTAAACATAAAATTGCAATTGCTATGGAATCATATAACAAATTGCAACACACCATGATACCTATTAAAAAAGATATCAAGTTCCGGTGGCGACGCATGACCTGCTTACAGAACCTTGACCCCATGAGGTCAATTACTACGACAATTGAATAGTAAAGTCCATTAATTACTCGTAAAAAAAAATATTATTTTTAGCAGTCATTACTGCCAGTGGTTTATCGTAATATAAACTTCAAAAAATACGAAAATAATAATCTATATAGTACTCAGACTAAAGAATAATATATATTATAATATAGACGGAGTCCGCCAAAATTAATGTCAAAATCAAAAATAGTAGCGTAATTGGTGTTTATGCCATTTTAAGATTAAAGTATGAATAATAAAAATAATACTATTATATTCTTTTATATTTTCATAATTATAATAAAAATAATCAGTATCTGCAATATCCATTATAATATTATAAATGTGAAAGAGTGTTTGTTTGTTTGTCCTTCCTTCACGTCAAAACGGAGTGGCAGATTGTCGTAATTTTTTGTGTGGAGATAGTTGGAGCGCTAGAGAGTGACATAGGCTACTTTTTACCGCGGAAGATTATCTAATTCCCAAGAGAAAACACGTTCATCCAAAAAAAAATATTTATGGTCAGAATCACTTGAAACTTGGTATTATTGCTCTTCTATAAAATTAAATAAATACTTACTTGTTTTAGCATTTTTCGAAATTCATCCTATAAGAGGGTAAAATAGGGGATGAAAGTTTGTATGACACTACCTTTCTATAGATTTTTTTTTAAGTTTTAGCGCGAGAGAAGCCGCGGGTTCTGCTAGTAAAACAATAAATTGAACATAATAAAAATACCTTTCGTTTAATACCAACAAAAAAATATTATTTCCATTAATTTTTTTAATTACCTACAAACACGAAACAAGTTAATTTGCGAAACCTTAAGTTTAGTGACCTTTATGTACCAAAGCAAATATTAATACAGTTTATAGTATTTGAATAAAACCTTACGCATTGAGTGCTATTTATGTTTGAATTATGTCATTTTCCTGAGTTTTACACGCCGTCCTTGCATTTGTTTAACTCACAAAGAGCTACTATTTTTAATTGTAGCATATCCAAGTCCTAAAAAATAATAAAGAAAAGACAAAAAAATGATGGAAACACTTAAGGTTAAGCACGTAATCATTAAAACTGTAATTAATAAAGTATCTAATTTAATCTTCTATACATATAATAAAATTGTAACTAAGCCGAATCTGTACATTAAATATTTTTTGGAAAATCTTATTGAAATAAACATTATTATCGATACAGAGGCCGAAGCTATAATTTTTAGAATTTTTGTCTGTCTGTCTGTCTTTCTGTCTGTTACCGCATCACAGAAAAACCACTGGAGGAATTTTGATGAAATTTGGTATGGTGATAGCTGGTTATCCGGGTCAACATATAGGATACTTTTTACCGGGGAAATATATCTCATTTCTGAGAAAAAATGCAATGTAAGAGTATACTAATATGTAAAACCTAAGAATTTGGTTTTTGGTCATCTGAACGCGGGCGGAATCGCGGGCAATGCTAGTTTGTTTATAAGTACAAACTATTATGCAGTGATATGGAACCCTATTGTAGATTTCGATTCACAAACAGCATTGGCCAGTCTTTAAATAATTCAAATTAAAGGTGTTTTTTTTGTAAGTAGGTAATTGAATGAGTTTTAAAAATAAAATAAATTTTCGAATGTTAAATATGTTTACGTATTTATAATTTGCATATTCATTAGGATGAGACCAGTGACGACAACTTATACTAACACAATATATAATTTTAAGTTTTGCATCAATAAACAATTTCTACAGTTCTTTGACATATTATTATTTTTTATACTATCCATCATTTCAACAAAAGTCTAATGCAGTTATACTCAACCTGTGGCCCGCCGAGACCTGTTATTGGCCCTTCTGAAGTTACATCTCAGAGTTGGCTTCCGTTTTAAATTGTAATTACTCAGAGTTGTTTGATGAGTTCATAGATTTTGAAAACGATACCAATCTAGAAGTTCTGTTTAAAGAAAAAAGGGAAAACAGACCATGACTAAAACGTGCTTGTGGCCCCTATAAAAAAAAGGTTGAGTATCGTCTAATGTATGAAGCAAGTCAGATGACAAGTCATACGTGTAAAAGTGAAATCCAAGCATAGGTAATAACGGCAGTTTGGCAAGTAATTTCGTAACGCTTGCTACACAGCGGTTCAACATATTAGAACTGGTAGACCAACAATAACCTATCAGCAACTATGTATGTACATAATATACTTAAATAGATAAAAATTAAAATCCTACTTTAAAATTAATCCACTCATAAAAAATGATTCAAATAAATTATACCTTCATAGTATGTATGGCAATCTGATCAAATTGACAACTTCTTTATAAAACCATAATATCTGAAAATGTTACTAAGGTCTCTATGGAAAGTCAAGAAAAACGATACAAAATTATTATATAAACATGGATACCATATACCATAATATATGTAAATAAATAATAAAAGTTATAATTGTGTATAAAAGCTACATCCATGTAAAAAAAAAGTGTTACTAATCTATACATATAATAAAATTGTAACTGAGTCGAATCTGTACATTAAATATTTTTTGGAAAATCTTATTGAAATTGTCATTATTATCGATACAGAGACCGAATCTATAGTTTTTGTATGATGATAGCTGTGGTTATTCGGGTCAACGTACATTTTACTGCGGGATAATATTATAATCTCATCTCTAAGAAATCTATACTAAACGCTAATGAGTAATATATGTATAATCAAAATCGCCCAGGCCAAATAGCCGGAACTAGTGGTCATAAATGCTGATCATGTACGTCACTAAAAATTTATTGAAAACAAAAAAGAATTTTGTATTAAATTATAAAATTCTTAAAACCATAAATGACGCCTTACGAAATATTCTGATTAATAATTTAACAATCTTGGTCTTTGCGGTTATGTGGTCGTTAAGCTATCAATATAATGATGGGGAGATTCCCATGAGTAATATTTAATTTATTTAGTTCTACGCAGTAATGTAATAAATTGAAGCTTTTAAACTGCATAATTCATACAATTATATTTCTATTTGATTTAAATTGAATGAATCCTGTGAATAACTTATATGTTATCACTTGAAGTATCAAAGTTTAAAACAATAGATCTAATTGCCCGACAATTTGAATGTAATCTTGAACTAATTAGCGAACCTACATACTACAATACAATTGAAAAGCAATAAAAGGCGAGAAAACAAGTTGTTGAGTAACATATGTACATTTTGTTTACATATTAAGTATCCTTTTATAATAAAAAATCAATATAAGACGCTGATAGGAAATTTCCGCTTCTAATTTACAGAAGCATTTGGACGTTAATTATATATAGCCTTGTTAGCGCGGCTTCACGAGATAATTCGCTTATGAATAATGACAACCTTGATTAATTTCCCCGTTTGAGACTCCAAAAAATTGATATTTGATTGTGTTACATACAAGCTTTGCTAGTTTTATAGGCCTTATGAAGTTGAATTTCAGAAAATTATTTCGTAAGGTAATAAAGGTGTAAGCTACTAAAATTTCAGCCCTTTAGATGCAGCGGCTATATTTCGTCGATGAAGAACGAGTTGCTTATATTATACAAGCACCTAACCCTCGCTTTCCATTGTGTTTTTTCGATATAAATTTAGTTGTTTTTTTCACACTGTTTAGGCATCGAACGCCGATAAAGCAACTCAACAGCCAGTTTTTTTCCCAAGTTCCATTAAAGTTATTATGATTTCTAACAGTAAACACATTTTTCTTGGAAGAAAAATAACCTATAGCACTCGGCGGTAATGTACATACGAGTTCTATATTCTAACTTGCAAGCATTACTTTAGTGTAGTTATAAAAAAGAAATTATAAATTAAAACTTATTATAGTTAACTAGATATAAAAATCTTTATACATTTAAACATATCTTTGGGCGAACTACAAAGAAAAAGATAAAAAAATGTAACACCTCAAAGTTAAATTCTAAGAAATTAATTGTTAACCGAGCCACCTTTGGCTCCGCGTACTTTGAAAGGTTAAGTAACCCTCGACACAAAATAGCTATAAAACGTAAGGAAATAAAACTCTCTTAACCTTTTAACTTCATTAAAATTGCCTATTAATATTTTGATGATGAGCGTCGCCGCGTTAGAGGACCAAGAACCATCTCGATCACGTTAGCTCT